ACTTTTCAGAGAAGAGGATTAAAAAATAAATAAAAATATTTTTATTGATTTCAGAGAGAGAGGGAGAGAGAGAAACATTGGTTTACCGCCTCCTGCATGCCCCCTACTGGGGATAGAGCTGGCAACCAGGGCATGTGCCCTGCCTGGAAATCGAACCTTGACCTCCTGGTTTATGGGCGGATGCTCAACCACTGAGCCACACTGGCTGGGCCCATGTTCTTGTTATGAAATTATTCTTGTGTTGTCCAGATTTTGAGTGGTGTCTATTTTCATGCCTTAATTTCACAAGCATGCATTGTTAATTTGATTGACAAGAAACACTTTACATTAATTTTGCTAGTGGCATTATATTGTATTCTTGTGCAGCACTCATTTGATAGGGGCATACAATTTAGCTCAGTTCTCACATCACATTTATATCGTGCAGTAATCTCCATGAATTAAATTGTTGTGTGATATGGCCATTTTGCTCTATCCAGATTAGTGTCTAAGTGCAGTAATGGCAGATAGTATTAGGCACTTAATGGCTATTATTATGATTATAATGTGGAGACTTTAGCAGCAACCAAAATTCTCCATTATGAATTGAACTATTATCTCTATTTACTAGTTCACAGGCTTAATTTTTTTTTCCAGTTTTATTGAGAACAGGCTTAATTCTTTTTTTCTGGTAATCCTCACCTGAGGATATTTTTTCCATGCCNAGATCTTTGTGTAGGTGCGGTATTTCAGGGAAAAGGGCAGTGGGTTTGGGGAAGAGGAGGTGATGACACACATGATGCTTTTCTTTGCAAGAAATGTCATGATCAAAGAGAATTTCAAATGGAACAGAACAGTGATATTAACAGCTGAAATGGGTCAAGGGGAATCAACAGGACATCTCTGGTGACTTTTTTAAAAAAATGTTTTTTTAAAATTGATTTTAGACAAAGAGGAAGCCAGAAGGAGGAAAGGAGGAGGGAGGGAGGGACAGAGAAACATCGATGTGAGAGACACATTGGTTGCCTCCCCCATGTGCCGCATCCAGGGGAGGGGAGCAAACCCGAAACCCAGGTTTGTGCCCTTGAACAAGAATCGAACCTGCAACCCTTTGGTGCGCAGGGTAACGTTCTAACCACTGAGCCACACTGGCCAGGGTGAAAAGGGGCTTCATTCTTACAGGTTCTGGTTAATCTTGCTGAGCGTTAGCTCTCACCAGCAGAAAGCAGTCAGTACTCATCACAGTTATCAGGAAAGAGCAAGACAGATCAATATATGGAGTGGCCAAAAGTAGGCTTACAGTTGTGAGAACATGAAACACAGAGCTTATTCCTGTATTATTTATTAATTATTGTATTATTTATCTGTATTACAACTGTAAATCTACTTTTGCCCACCCCTGTATATCATTACTATAGGAGGGAACAATCCCACAAAACGTCTGAGTAAAAGACCTACTGACTGTGGGTTAGAATGACCTTTTATTATGGACAACCCACTGCATTTGAGTAGAAGTCTACAATGAAAGTAAAATGTGTTAAGACTTAACACTATCTCAAGGCAGGTTTAATTCTAACAATAGGAGCCTACATACCAGAAAACTTTGAAATATTTGCAGGCCCTCTTTACCAGAATAGAACTTTTAGTTATTCAGGAAAAACCATTATAACATATCTTACCATATTCATTTGGAATAAATAAAGTTTTCCATATTGGAAATAAATCAGAATGCACTGAAGGCTGTAAAAAAAATCATAGTTTAATAACTGAAATCACAAATGCCTTTATCTAAACAAATCCCTTAGTGTGAAGACCAGATAATTTGATGATTTATAAGAAATATATAACTGCATGTGATTAAAGCTTGATGGATATATTTGTCATCATTTTAGGGTACTGTAACATGCATTTTGTAATTTTTTCTTATCAATGTAGGCTATAGAAGTAATCATTCATTAAAATGGCCTGTTTTCTTCTGAATAAAACTGATTATATAAACTATATCAAAATTTCTACCACTTACGTTTTTAAAAGCTGAAAAAATTTGCTAAAATTAAATTCACCCAATTTTTATAGTTGAAAAGTATTTACTTAAAAATGGAGAAAAAATCTATTACCAGGAAGAGCAACCATATTATTTATAGAAGCACATTCAGAGTCCTGGGTTTTGTAGCAAAGCAGTCAAGGAGGCAAATAAAATATTGCAAGTTGAATGCAATCATGTTTTCTTTTGGGAAACCTTTAATATGTTCTAAAAATCCTATTTGTAGCACTATTTTGATTGTGGAAAACTATCTTGGTTATAGGGCATATGAAAGCACTGTGAGTAGAAGTCTAACTGCTGCTCTATCTCCTAAAAGCTTCTCTAGTTTAACATTTCACAAATTACAAATTGAGATATCCCACTTTTGAGTATAAGGACATCCTGACATTGCAACCGAGTCTGCCCTAGCAGAGCACAACCTCCTGCTAAGACTGGCCACATCAGCTGAGGATTTGACATGCTTGCCACAAACTGCTGTGACCGTAAATAAGTGGATATTGTTACTTGTATTACATTGCTCCATGCACCTAAAGCAGGCTTTAAAGACTTAGTCTGATGCTCTACTACCTCTCTACTATTTCTGTTATTTGATTTCATGTGCATAAACATGCCACATAGGAGGCCATTCATCATTTACAGCCTTCAGGGCACGTCAGCACTCAGGTGCCACCTGAGCTGCTCAGAGAAAGGTCTCAAATGTGTAAAATGTTTCTGAGCGCCTTATCTCTGTGCTTCCTAGTGTCATTTTCCTTTGAAATGTGGTGTTTGAAATATCCGATTTTGCAGGATTGTGTGTTCTCCCAGGGGACTTGGTTCCTCTTACTTTGGCAGTGTGGAAAGGGAAGTGGGCAGTGAGTACCGACTGGAACAGTAGCGGCGGCACTTGTAACTAGAAAGACAGTGTCAGCCAAGGATGCCAGTGGCTGGGTAAAAAGTAAAAAGCACCAGAATTCTCAGCTGCATCAGTACATTAGTCCAGCCTGTTTTGCCCCCTGAAGTCCATTGTAATCCCCAGGGGTCTTGGTACCATGGAGTCTGGACCAGTAGGCGTGGGGTGGGGCCCAAGACCCTGCATTTCTAACAAACTCCCAGGACAGGCCGTTCATGATGGTTCCTGAGCCAGCAGTGAAGAGTGTGATGAAGCATGTTCATATTTGAACACTGTGAAGCCTAAATGTCTTTATGCTCAGTGTACCTTGTTCACTAAGCCCCAGACATGTAATACTCAGAAATTTTCCACCAAATATAGTTGTAAATTATTTTGCCCTTTATTAAAAAAATTTTAAAAATCTTCCCTCAAGGATATTTTTTCCATTGCTTTTCAGAGGGGGGGGGAGAGGGGGAGAGAGAGAGAGAAAAACATCGATTGGTTGCCTCCCGAATACGCCCCGGCCTCGGTGGGGGACTGAGCCTGCAACCAAGTCATGTGCCCTTGGCTGGAATTAAACCTGGGACCCTTCAGTCCAAGGGCCCATGCTCTAACCACTGAGCCAAACTGGCTAGAGCTTACTTTGCCCTTTAAAGGAATAACACTTCAGTTACCTGTATAATTTACAAAAGCAAACATTCTACTCTCCTTGATGAATCCATAAAAGTATAGCCTATTTTTATGCTGTGTATAAAGTCTTATTTTCATCTTTATTTTTCACGGGGCAATGCACAATGAGGGTGTTTTTAAGTGCAATGAGTATCACATAAAGTTGACAGTAATAACATACTCCTATTGTCATTTTAGGTTTTTAACTTTCTGTGAAACCTTTTTTTGGTACTTATTCAACATTCATCAACAAGATTTTCGTGCCTATACTGAGAACCAAGCACAGCCATATCCTTCTGCATACATCTAGGATTTTTAGCAACTTAAGAACATTTAATATGTTTCTTTCTCTCCAGCAAACTGTTTAAACAAATAAACCTTTCCCGTTAATAGGATTATTTCAGAAGTTGCCAGGCATCATCTGTGAACCCAAACTCAGTAATTAGCAATTGTGGCACCACAGTGGAAATCTCTTGATAACAGTGGTCAGTGGTTTCATGAGTTTCTGAGTTTATTGCTACAATCCAAGTCATCCTAGCTGATGACAGTCTGGCTCATTCACACGTGTGTATCCCAAACTACAAATTTAAGAGTAATGAACGCTTGGACCCACACTCAGTTCTCTCATTGACTATACCTTTGTCAGAGGACCACAGACTAATTTTTATGGGGTCAAGAATAAAAATACGTACATTTTTCTTATAAAGAATTGTCTTAATTCTATTCCCCCTTATGAAATAAAGGCTCTTGAAAAATATGAACGGTTTGGGAAGCAAATGCCTTGGAAGTTAAGCCACCTTGTTCTTTTAAAATAAGCATCGTCTAGTTTAGCAGAATGCAAAGAGGACTGATCAATGAAGTTCCATAAGTTGTATTCAGAGAAACACAATTTTATAAAGACTGAGTTTAATTAATACAAACAAAGCTATTTATATGTGGTGGCAATTTAAATAAAAACAAAAGACTTTAAGGTGAACAGGCTTTTGATGGTCATTAATACAAAAAGGATGAGAGGCCCTGCTTTTTACAAAAGCTATGATGTGAAGTTTAGGAAAACAGTATTAACTGTGGTATAGTTAAAAACAAATGAGAAAGAATGAAAAGGCCCCAGAGAAAAAATATTTTTGTACAGTGCTTCTCAATGTCAAATTGTGATTTTTTAAAAAGATTTTTTTATTGATTTTTAGAGAGGAAGGGAGAGGGAGAGAGAAACATCGATCGGCTGCCTCCTGCAAGCCCCCTATGGGATTGAGCCCTGAACCCGGGCACGTGTGCTGACTGGGAACTGAACTGGCGACCTTTCGGTGCAGGGATGATGCCCAACCAGCTGAGCCACATCGGCCAGGGCGAACTGTGTGATATTTATACCATTAAAATCAACATGGTTATTTTATCTTTTGGCTTCCAGATGGAATTGTAGAAAATACTTACCAAGAAAACAGTTTCGAAAGTGCTTCCTCTTAAGTTCTTTGGTACAATTTGGTCATTTTGATAGTTATCAATCCATTAAATACTTTAACATACATGTATCAACAAAAGTGCAACAAGAAGTACAAATGTCTAGAAAACCACAATCGAAGAATATGTTTTTGACCGCAAGGAAAACAGTACTCTAAAATTTTACTTGTGTTTCTGTGACTAAGATATCCACACTGACTATAAGAACATCTCTAACTAGATTTATATTAAAGAAATATTACATAAAACATCCCTTTCTGATTATTAGAATAACTGCTCTATATATTTTTAAAAGAGGCAAGTTTCAACGTGAAAAAAGAATACTTGTTATACTTTTTTGTGCCTTTTGATTGAGCAAGTTTTACCAGCTAGAATTTAATATCAGTTACAGAATGTTAAGGACTTATTTCAGTCAACAGTTAATCTTCCTCCTGCAGCAATTTCTCTATTTCCTTATCCCAGTTTTCATCTCGTTTCTCTGATTCTGTCACCACTTCATATTCTTGAAGTTCCTGCTGCAGTTCTTTTTCCCAATCCGTAGAATCCTCTAAAAGAAACAGATGAGAAGGAAAAGATTCTCTCTGAATTCACCATGCTGGCTTTAACAATTCAGTCAACTATAACTACGACGTAAGTCCTGGCCATCGTCATTTTGAACATCTCAGGCTTCTTCACTATGTGTGCTCAGAAAAACGGAACAAATTTTAACAGCAACCAAGAGAAATAGGGTTAGAAAGAGAAATTTGTTAAATGTAGAACCAAAGGTATCAGGTGTCGTCAGTAAATTTGGGGTGTTATTTTGCTTTACCTAGACCTCTTCTTTTCCTTCAGCTTAACTGGATAATTAATAATTAATTTTGGTTGCAAATTAATTTTTACCACTAACAATGATGATAATGGTAGCAAAAACAGTGAACATTTCTTGAGCACCTACTGAGCCAGGCATTGCACTAACCACTCTCTACACATCGCTTTTTTTTTCATTAGAATAATCCATGGACTAGACACCACTATTATATACATTTTACAGATGGGGAAATGGAGGCTGAGAGAGGTTAAGGGACTTGCCCAAGATTACACAGCTTGACAGTGAGACATACGATGGAACCACATCTGCAGGTCCCAGGTTCCACAGTCTGTGCTTAAACCACTTTAGCAGTAGTCTCCCTAGAATTACAAGAGACACCAGGACTGGAAGTCAGGTGGTCTCTTGCTGAAGCCTGGCCCCTCACATGGGCTCCATCTGAGCTCTCGCACTGGTCTTCCGTGTTGAGATTTAGAGCTGCAATTTTCTGCTTAGACACTTAATACACCTGTGCATGTATATGTGTGTGTACATATGTGTATATGTATGTAAAGGATAAGGTATCTGCTAGTGTTATAAAATGGTGAGAAGAAAAAACAAACCAACCGGCTAGTTAAAAACTAAAGTCTAAATTCATGTTCAACTTTTAAAAATAAATAAACTTAATAGCTATAGAGAAAACAATAACCAAATGTTTAAATTCTTTTGCAGCAGTGACCTCAAGGGAAAAAACAGTGTGCTGTGTAACAATCAATGAATTCCAGAAATATTAGTTGCTTACTGAGTGCCAGGCTCCATGTTAGGTACTGTGGAGGACAACCAAAGAAGGTACAACTGCCCCTGAGGAACTTACAATTTAGCTGGGGGGGCCAAGACAAGTACTATAGAAAAGAATATTAAGTGGCACAAATTACAAGTAGGGCAGGGATTCAGAGAACGAACAGCTCTCTGGAGCAGCCAGGAGCTAGCCTGGGGGAAGCTGGCCAGTATTTTGACCAGTGCTCTCAGCACAAACTATGGAAACAGCTGACTCCCTAAATTGTAAGTCTCAGAAGGCTTCAGGAAACACTCTGCATCTGATGATGAGCCCAGGCTTTTGCTTTTCATCCCATAGAAAGCCAGTAATTTGTCCTGATATGTCAAAGAAAGCAACCCCCTGCTTGCATTTTTCTTCTAAATTACCATTTTAGAGGCAGCCTGCTTCTTCTCAGAAGCTATGCTCTTGTGGCACACAGCAGCTTCTAGATACCAGCATAAAGCCAAGAAGGATGCTTGCTTTTAAAGCAGAGTGCCAGAGGGCAATGTCTTCACGTGAAAGGTGTACTTGCTTTGCTTTCTCCCCCGTCCTGGCCACCTGTCCTCAGGCTGAGAGGCCCGGGACGCATCACCGGGTCTCAGTTTCTCCTCTCTACGCTTCTGTGGATATTTAGGGCAGAGGGTATGAGGTCCAGTTATGTGTGCTAGAGTCCTTTTTCTGGTGGACAGAGAAGCAAAAGCTACAGCATATTTTTTGTATATATGCTTCATAATAACAACCTTCTACAATCAACTTCAGAATCGGGGAATAGAACAGTTGTTTTGTTTTATACCTTCTAGTACGGTTGTCTCCTCCTGTTTTTTGTCAAGCACCAGTTGCTCCATATCCTTCCTCAGATCCTCCTGATCTAAGTTACAGGCATCAAAGGCATCACTGACAAACTCAGAAACACCTGGACTGGTAGAGATCTCCTCTTCATCCTGAAATACAACAAATACGCTCTGGAAATGGCTTTCTAAGCGACATTTACAGGCTACACCTCTTGTTTATGGTCATCTCACAATTTAATGCAGCATCATTTTTGTTTCCTTCCTCTGCTAGTCCAATAATCACTGCTCTCCAACCTTCTAACCTGCACAGTTAGTTGGTAACTAAATGAGTTACAACCTGAATCTACTGTGTTCATTCACGGTTTGGATCAGTCCAATCATTCTGTCCAATCCCCGATGAGCACATCTAGAATGACTTATGCCAGGGAATGGCCTCGAATCTGAGCTGTAGGTCCTTAACTATTCAAGTACTGGACCCCTCTTCTTCAGAACAGGTAAGACCTGTATTTATAAGTCGTTTGAATAGGTATCTCAGATTATTAACACAGAGTGACTTCATTTCCAGACATCAACTACTAGGTACAATGTAAAACTGTATTACCTCTTGAGTTTTAAGCTGAGATTTGATTACGACAGGTGGCGTTTTGGGCCGTACTGCCTCTAAGAAGTGAGAATAAAAGAGACAATAATTGCTTGATTCAATTCTGAATACAAATAATAATAACAACTAAAAAATCCACAAGTATGATGATACTAAATAATTTACAGAAATGAACTTTTAATGTTATACTTTCAGTTTTTACATTATTACAAGAAATAGCCAGATGAAACCACCCTCAACCTCTTTCTTTTGGGGATATTTTTATTATGTCATCATATCCGATGCCCCTTATACAAGACTGCCAGCAGGAAATAACTTTTGACTTCAGTTAGCAAAATTAGGATGAGGACTGAATTACCAAGTTTTCCCTTTGTCACAAACGCTAGAAAGTTCAAAGTAAAGTGCAATGCTCAGTCACAGCTTCTCCTTTTCTCACAGCTGCATTTGCTATCTCATAAACACTAGATATACAACCTTTAATGAACCCTGTCCTAAGCCCTTTTTGTTACATACGCGGTATTTGGTAAAATGGCATTTTCCAATAAAATTGATGAAAGAAAATACTAAAGAATGACAGACACTTGGGATTCATGTAATTACCTATATGTAAAATGCCAAATTTCACTGCGCAGAGCAACTTCATTATACTAATGGTCTGTATAACCTGAGCTTCAGGACACACTGTTTTGAGTAATTATTTAAAATTGCATGACTGGAAAAGTCTCCAGTTGTAAATAGTATCTATACAGAGCAGGTATTTATTAAATGTTAAAAATATAACAAAACATACTTCTTATTTTAATTATTCTTACAGATATTAAATCATTGCTGATATTATAAAACACTTTCCCCAACAACCAGAGGTAAACTGTCACAATAAGAGTCAAATGTGTAATTTAATGGTGCTTGGCTCTGAGCCGGGTATTTGTAACTTGGAGTGGAACAGAGCTTAGTTCTGCTCTACAGACTACAGCACTGGGGAGACATTTAGTTGAATGGAATACTGAGAAACAGGTGTAGGACAGAAGGTATAAAAATAATCACATGGTGCTCGGTCGGAGTGGCTCAGCAGTTTAGCATCAACCTAGGATCCAGGAGATCACCATCTGATTCCCAGTCAGGGCACAGGTCCGGGTTGCGGGCTCAACCCCCAGAAGGGGGCATGTAGGAGGCAGCCAATCAATGACTCTCATCATTGATGTTTCTCTCTCTCCCTCTCCCTTCCTCTCTCTCTGAAATCAATAAAAATATATTTAAAAAAAAATAATCACATGGTAAAGAGCAATGAAAGAGGTGGGAAAATGACTGGTGATCAAGGGAGAAATAAAAAGAAATAAAAAAAACTGAAGAATGAGAAAAAGATAGCAAAGTAAAGGAAAGCTTGGTGAAGACTTCTGAGTGAGGTCAGATAGAGGGCAACAAAAGAATGAATATTTCCTCTGGAAAGAAGAATTTTCCCTAAGATGACAATGACATTTCTGGTACATACAAGATGACAAGCTCATGAGGTTCTCGAAGTTAAGAATATTTTTAAAGTAACTCTCTTTTTCACAGAGAGTTCTCTGACTATACCTGTCAGTGGCAAAGCATCCTCTCTGCCATGGCTCTTCTCTTTTCCAGAGGCCTGCTGCTGGGCGGCCAGGGCTGTGAGCTGGGCTGACTGCTTGATCAGGGACACACGGTAAAAGTAGTTCCTCCAAAACACTTCTTCCTTCACACTTTTAAAGACAAACAACACATTTGAGCATGCGTGCACACAGATGCATGCAGGGGTTATCTGTTGCATGGAGATTGGAGCGGATGATTTTTAGGGGCATTTGCAAATCCGAGGGAGGCTCCAAGAAGGTTCTCATTTGCTTTTGAAATGAAAGCTGAGCCCTAACTGGTTTGGTTCAGTGGTTAGAGTGTCGGTCTGTGGACTGAAGGGTCCCAGGTTTGATTCTGGCCAAGGGCATGTACCTCGGTTGCAGGCGTGATCCCTGGCCCCGGTCACGGCACGTGTGGGAGGCAACCAATTGATATCTCTTTCACATCAATGTCCCCCCCCCGCCCCCGTAAAGCAATGGAAAAAATATCCTTGGATAAGGATTTTAAAAAAGCCACAAGAGTGAGATTACCTTTCCCATGAAGTAATGGGCGACCTAAATACTGTCAAGGTCACTTTTAATTCTGAGCCCTGTGAAATGTCCAAAATGAAGAGTGTACTATCTGTCTACAGTGGATCATGGGCAATGTTTGCACTCTAAATAAAAACAAACATCTAGCCCTGGCAATGTGGCTCAGTTGGTTGAGCGTTGTCCCATGCACCAAGGGGCCACCCGTTCGATTCCTGGTGGCACATGCATGGGTTGTGGGCTCAATCCCCAATGGGGGGGTGTGCAGGAGGCAGCCGATCGATGTTTCTCTCTCTCCCCCTTTCCTTTCCTCTCCCTCTAAAATCAATAAAAACATATTTAAGACAAGCAAATAAACACACAAACAAACATCTGGATTGTTTTCTTTTTCTAGAGTCCTTCCCCTCTTGACGTAAGAGGAAGTGGTCACAGGCACACTGCAGAAATATTCAGTTACCCTCCGGAGAGAGTCACAATGCAGAGGACATAGTAAAGGTTCTAAGAAGCCTTTCAATAAAAATCCATCTAATGTAGCAACTCCCAAACATTTATCTGACCATTTATATTCCAAGGACTATTTTAAGGCATTAGTATGCTGTGAACAGCCTTTAGGAAACAATAGGTATATGTCCAAGGCTGTGCCATAGGAAAGGACTCTGATTTCCCTATTGTCATGAGAGTAAAGGCCTCAGAGGGAGCCTCTGATGCACCAGTAGGGCCCTGTCTCTAGCCAGCACGGCTGTCACAGAGAAGTGCTAACACACTAAAAGGTGTTTTGAAATACAGAGAAAATGAAAATGTTTGTTTTCTTTTTTTTAAATATATCTTTATTGACTTCACAGAGAGGAAAGGAGAGGGAGAGAGAGAGATAGAAACATCAATGATGGGAGAGTCATTGATTGGCTGCCTCCTGCACGCCCCCGACTGGGGATCAAGCCAGCAACCTGGGCATGTGCCCTGACCGGGAATCAAACCCCAATTTCCTGGATCCTAGGTCGACGCTCAACCGCTGAGCCATGCCCAGCCGGGCTGTTTTCTTTTCTAAATTGTTCCTGCTTAGTGATGGCTTCTGTTCAGAAAAAGTATCTCAAATTATCAGTTTCATTTCTGCATGTCAGAAGGAAAAGTCCAGGAGTCCTTGTTTATGTGTGATGGCTCATTTTTTTTTTTTTTTAAATCCTCACCTGAGAATATTTTTTCCATTGTTTTTCAGAGAGAGTGGAAGGGAGAAAGATACAGAGAGAAACATCGATGTGAGAGAGACACATCGACTGGTTGTCTCCCACATGAGCCCTGACCAGGGCCCGGATGGAGCCTGCAACTGAGGTACGTGCCCGTGGCTGGAATCAAACCTGGGGCCCTTCAGTCTGAGGGCCAACACTCTAACCACTAAGCCAAACCATCTAGGGCTTGTTTTATTATGGAAATTTCAACTTAAGTAGAGACACCAGAACAAAGCAGCCCCATGTACCCATGACCTAACTTTAAGAACTTCCCCCATTTTGCAAGTCATGCTTCATCTATGCCTCTTCCCCTGCACACAATGCTTTTCTTTGGGGGGGAGGGTTGGGAAATTTTAAGGCAATGACAGTATCATATTTTATCATCCATAAATACTGCGGTAAGCATTTCTAATAGATAACGACTTATTTGTAAAACCAAGCCTAATTTCTAAAGCATCCCTAACAGAATTATCAGTAGAAAATTGGAATTATATTACTCAATGCGCAGTTTATTAGCCAGTGAGAAATCTGAAATACTATTTGCCAAATACCAATTCTCCAAGCTTTAAAAAAATCTAAAATTACTCTCAGTAGTGAGAGAGTGTCTAGAATTGTCAGAAACGGAAACTATGGACAGTGACATGCCTGCCAGGAGTACCCCAGGCCACATGTCCCAGCGCTTCAGGACAGTCCCCAGAGTGCCAGCAGAGAACACACTGCATGGCCTGGGTTATTCCAATGGCTTTCAAACTGATGGAGCCTTCAGGTACAAAGCCCACCTGGACCCCAGAGCTTTGCTGCTCTTCTCTCATAAAGAGGCAGCTATTCAAAATAGGTATAACCTCAAATTCTGAGATAAAAGAACTTCAAATCCAACTTGCAGGGTTTTGTGAGCATAATAGTAATTCATCACCAATATGTTAGTAATTACGGAGAGAAGAGTTTTACTAAAAAGAAAAAAATAAAGGATTCTATATAACTGTTGTTTCAAGTCTTGGCTCAAGACAGGAGGAGCAGTGGAGAGGCCCTCAAGGAACAGTGAGATGGCCCTAACTCCCATGCTGCCCTTCCAGTCAGGAACTGTGTTCCAAACACAGCACAGACTGAAGGTTCACTATAAGCTAAGCCACTCTGCACTCAGGGTCAGCTGGCACAGTTGAAAATGGGGATGGAATGCTATATGGAAGCCCCACGGGCCAGGCTCTCCCTGTTATTCTGCCTGCAGAATAATAAGACCTATGGGAACATACAGCCCCAACCACGTGTCAGCATGGCGCCTTCATCCAAAGGATGGGTAAAGAAAAGCCTGCAACATGAAAGACAGAGCCCAAAGAGAACACAAAAATTCACAGAAAAGAACAGAGAGAAAAGAGTTATCTCAAGAAAACTACACTTGATGTCCTCGGAGAACAGTAAGACACAGTATCCATATAATAAGAACGAAGTGCTAGAAAAAAAGGAATACTAATGGTGCTGACTCTAAAAATGTGACATTCATAACAAGGGACTGGAATTAGAAAAGGTGAGGAAGAGCCTGTGGTGGCAGAGGGGAAGAGAAGGGGGCCCACTGCTGATGGCTGCGAGGCGTGCATCACAGAAGACATTATGCATGTCACAGAAGACATTAGGCAGAGATCTGGGGCGGGGAGAGGGCCTTCGGGCAGAGGAAAAGCCTCAGGTGGGGAGGACAAGAACACTGCTGCTGGGGAGCAGAGCAGAGTGCAGAGAAGGCAGCGACTGGTCCTGATGGGCCTCAGACCTTAACTTAAATGCACTTTACCTTCTAACCAGGGATGAGAGAGTACATTTCAGCCCCACCCCAAATTTCCCTAAAGTCCACTCTTGGTTCTGAATCTATAGTGCCGTGTGTGTGTGTGTGTGTGTGTGTGTGTGTGTGTGTTTGGGGTGCGTATGTATGTGTGTGCTGCTGAAGGGCCACACAGCGCGCTTTTATGAAGAGAATGTCCTTGGCCCCATTCCACAATTCCTCCCTGATACTGTGCAAAGACCGAGGCCATCAGAAAAGGCAAGTACACATTTGGTGAGCAGAACTACTCTGACTCGAGAACACAGTGCTTACAGTTTAGGAACAAGGGCAAATCTCATCCTGCTCAGCAGTTCGTCTTCTTGGAGCATGACCAGGGCAACAGGGTACATCTGATCAAAGTCAAATTGAAACTGCACGCCGATGGGAGGGTCACGAAGGAAGTTCCTCTTGTCCTTTGATGAAAAGGGGGAAAACCACAGAATGCAATTAATATGTAACAATGCATCACTGATTTGACGAATATTGAATACTCAATAATAAAGACTTCAGCCGCAGAGTTCACTGAGCTATCATTAACCTGTCCAATTAAGACAGCACAGAACAACCAATCCTTTCATATTATTTTTCTCAACTGGAGAGCCTTGTGGGAGGCCAGGAAATTCAATCATGCGATCAGTTCAAATTATATAGTTTGAAATCATATGAACACATTTGTTTTAGTGGGCACTGTTAGGTATGTGAAAACTAGTGTAGATAATCTTAGAAACATTCTAACCCAAAGTTGAAGTCAGCTAACCATGGTGGTGATTTCAGAAAAGTGAAACCCACTGAGCAATTCATTTTTCAAGTGTGTACAGACCACGCTCTCGTCCCACACCTCTTGACAGAATGCCTAGGCCCAGGCCCACACTCTGCCTGACAAATCTTTGCAAAGCGCCACAGGTCAGTCTCTATACCAAGAGCCCAGGAATGTGACGGTGACTGAGAGAGACACAGTGCAGCTTCTTCACAGAGCATAGCCAGGCTGGGAAAAGGCTCATTGTTGGTTCAGTCAAGAAACCTCCGCTCAGCCATAGTGTTAGGGCCTGGGCCCCCAGCTGACACCCCCGTTTGTCACAACACTGTGAAGCGAGCACTTCCATCCTCACTTTACAGACGAGGAAACTGGGTCAGGGAAGCAAAATGGCTTGTCCATGGTTGGGTATGCGCTATAGCGAGTGGCAGGGCCCCCTTCCAGGGTCAAGTGCTCCTCCCACTCTAGCACAGCGGCAAACTCAATGGGCTGCCTATGCATCTCACAAGCTCTATCTATTTTAATGTAGGATGTTCACTTTACTCTGCAAGATGAATACTGCCACAGGTGTGACAACACTACAGGGACAGCAAGATATAGAGATCCTGCCACCCTGAACTTATACAGCACCTCCAACTTTCTCACACAACCCTCTCAGCTGCTCACTGCTGCAGACTGCCTCCTGCAAGTTTCCAATGTGAAAGGCATGGTGCTAGGACACCTACAATGGACAGAGGGAAAGTGAAATAACCAGCTCCATTCAACTCTCCCTTGCCCTGCCGAATATTAGTCTTCTTTTAAAAATACCTGACAGCCTGGCCAGCATGGCTCAGCAGTTGAGCATCAACCTATGATCAAGGAGACCATGGTTCGATTCCAGGTCAGGGCACATCACATGCCTGGGCTTTGGGCTCGATCCCCAGTGGGGGGGCATGTAGGAGAGAGCTGATCAATCACTCTCTCATCATTGATGTTTCTCTCTCTCTCCCCCCCCTCCCTTTCTCTCTCTGAAATCAATAAAAGACATATTAAAAAAAAAACACCCGACAAATAATAACTTTAAGTGAATTCTTCACACTGTTGCACTCAGGCTTAGATGCCTTAAACTAACGGTTAGAGAATCCACAATCCATTATGAGGTACAGTGAACATACTGACAAAATAAAATGTCATACAAACATTTTGTCATGAGCATATTAAAATTGGAGTCTCATTAAAAAGAAATTTAACCCAAGACTGTATTAAAGAAAGCATCTCCTTCACAGAAGACCCTCAAATGGCCTGTGATCCACAGTCAGTACATAACACGGAATTCCGACAAGACACTGCTGTGACTCTTCAATGCACCCGGGCCCACTACATCCAACCTGGAAGAGCTGTGACTGTCTTTCTCTTGGACCACTTCTCTTTAGTTAGCCAAGAAGAAAATGAAAGGAAAAATCCAAAGGCAAAGCTTCCCTGGATAGGGCACATTTCCTAGGGAATGAGGGTAGCTTGGAATTCCTCTGAGATGGCCCACTACTCCCACTTAATGTATAAAGGAATGTCTCCAAATCAACCCCCTCTCCTATAGACTGAGCATAGCAACTGGTTTAGCCAGTGGTTAGAGCGTCAGCCCAAGGACTGAAGGGTCTCGGGTTCAATTTCCAGTCAAGGGCATGTACCTAGGTTGCAGGCTCGATCCCCGGCCCCAGTTGCGGCGCAGGCAGGAGGCAACCAGTCGATGTGTCTCTCTCATATTGATATTTCTCTCTCTCTGTCTCTCCCCTCGCTTCCACTCTCTCTAAAAAAAAATCAATGGAGGGGGAAAAAAAAAGGAAAAAATCCTGGGGTAAGGATTAACAAAACAAAACCAATCAAGGCAAAAAGCTGCTGTTGAGGACTACTCAAACCATTAAGTTTGACTGTTTTTACTCTATTTCTTTAAAAAAAAAATTTTTGGTTTTTTTGTGCAAATATGATACACACCTATTTTTTAAAAATTCAAAACACAAAAGACAAGCAGAGAGTCAAAACTCCCACCATCCATGACAATCCCATGAATAGCCTCCTGGACATGTCTCTCTACATGCATACAGTGTCTGTCACCTGTTTCCCCTTTTCACTCAGGATCACAAACATCTTCCCATCTCTGAAGTAGCTATGTCTATACTGAATTTATTTAACCAGGTCCATCTCGGTAGTCAACACATTGCTTCTAATCTTTTCTGATGCAGATGCTCTTCTAAAGTGATCTCTTTAGACTAAATTCCTAGAAGTGGCATTTCTGGTCCAAGAGTAGAATTATTTCAATACATGTTGCACAAATTCTCCTCTAGAAAGATTAAAGCAGTTTATGATGCTACTAAATGCACCAATTTCATCTCATCTTGCTCATGTTGGATTTTTAAACCATTTTTGTTTTTTGAGAATTCTTATATTAATAAAGCAAAAACCTGAGCCTAAATGGACTTTATTTATTTTACAGTCCAATGTAAAAATTTCAAAGCCTGAAAGTGTCCCCAGTGTTTCACCAAGGTTTTTATAGCAGCCTCCTAATGGGCCTGGTTGTCCACCAGAAACAAACAGTGGCTGTCAGTGCAATGGGGCATGAGGGAGGAGAGGTATATATAACCCAGGGCCTTAGAAGCTGCAGAGGGAGTTTAGATCTTAGTCATGAGATGAGATGCCATGAGAAGGGTCTATGTAGGGGAGTGACACGAAGAGATTCATGCCATAAGTGGACCCCTCTGGCTGCTGAAAGAAGCTTGTACTGGAAAGGTGCAAGGAGGGGACAACAGTTGGGATGCCTTGGGTAGGAGATGATGGCACTAGGACCACAGTGGTGGCAGCAGAGAAGTGAATCAGAGCTATATTCTGAACAAAGCACTGTCAGGACTGGGGAAGGGGGGTGCAGGAGGGAGGGAAGGCATGACTCAAGGAAGACCCCTTAGCTGTGTGACTAGAAAAAACTGACCAGCACTGGCCTGTGTGGCTCATTGGTTAGAGTGTTGGCCTTTGCACCAAAGAGTGTTGGGTTCCATTCCCAGTCAAGGGCATGTATCTGGGTTGTGCATTTGCTCCCTGCCCCCGGTCAGAGCGTATGGGGGAAGCAACCAGTCGATGTCTCTCTCTCACATGATGTTTCTTGCCACCCCCCCTCCACTCTCTGAAAAAGCAATGAAAAAAATATCCTCAGGTGAGGATTAACAAGAACAACAAAACAAAACAAAACAAAAAACTGCTGAATAACTGGAGCCAGTATTCTGAGATGGAGAAGATAAGCAGAGGAATAGGTTTGGGGGGGTGGTCAAAGGAGCTGGGGGAGTTGACCGGTGAGTATATGTTTGCCCTCAAATGACACTGACTCACTGCCAGGATAAGCAGGTATGTGATGTCAGTGTCAAGTGTGGCTATACATGGCAAACAATACATGGTGCTCACACTGAACTCCTAACAGATGCTCAGGCCTTTAAAGGTTTTACTAACGGAAAGAAAAACCTTAAAATGCCCTGGGGGAAGGCAACGGAAGAGAGGTAAAGCCCAGTTTATTTGTTGTCTAGACTGAGGTTCCATTTATGACTTTCTGTTAAAGAGAAAAGTGGGTTAAAAACAAAGCTTGAAAACCACTGATACAGTAAAAAGCTCCATTTGTTGAGTCCTGTGCCAGGCAGGGTGCTCAGTACTTATAATAGAGATTAAAGCCAGTTTCTGCCCCTAAGAGTTCACAGCCCAATGGAGACACAGATAAGTGAGGGTAACATTTGAGAATCTCAATCCCCACACCTGTACATTGGCTACAGAAGCCCTTGCCTACCTCACAGATGTGCGGTGAGGCTCAAAAGAGATAATGTGTGTGAAAGCGTTTTCTTAAACTGTCAGGTCTACATAACTGTTAACTGGTAATGCCACATTCCCTTTGAAGTCCCAAAATAATTTTTGTGGGCTAGCACATGAAATTTTATTTCTTTCAATTTCAGTTTCGAATACATATAGCAGTTAAAAAGAAACTTAGGATATAATCATTTCATTCAGAAGAATCAGAATGCTGTCTTGAAACTTTGTATAGCATATTTCTTTCTTTCTTAATGTTTTTATTGATTTCAGAGAGGAGACAGATAGAAACATCAATGATAAGAGAGAATCATCAATCGGCTGCCTCCTGCATGGAGCCCGCAACCTGGGCATGCACCCTAACCGGGAATCAAACCATGACATCCTGGTTCATGGGTCAACACTCAATGGCTGAGCCACACCAGCCGGGCATGATAACATATTTCAAAAGATTATCCTTCTTAATAACAAAAGAATTATTTTAAGGCTGAAAGAATTTTGTGTAATAGGCTATTCTATTCATTAAGAAAAAAGAACTTATGGAGAAGCAAATTAAGTTAGTGAAAAAAGCCCTGGCTGGGTAGCTCAGTTGGTTAGAGCATAGTCCCGATACACCAAGGTTGCAGGTTTGATCCCTAGTCAGGGCACATACAAGAATCAACCAATGAACGCATCAATAAGGGGAACAACAAACTGATTGCTCTCTCTCTCCCCCTTCCTCTTTCTCTCTAAAATCAGCAAATAAGAATTAAAACAAAAAGTTAGTGAAAAAAAGTAGTGAAAGTTGATGTTTACATTCCCAATGTCTTAAAAGATTTTAAAAATTGTACAGAAGAAAAACATCTGCTAAGGATAAAGTCGTAATAGGAAGGAAATACTTCTACACAAGATATCACAAGATACTTACAGCAGATAAGGCCAAAATTTGTTGCTGAATTGTTTCTTCATCATTACTATCAACCCATGGGGGCACTGCTGCTTCTAAAAGGTTTTTTAAGAGCCAAGAAGAAAAGGAAAAAACAGGTTACAAAGGTTACACTGCAATTGTGATTTGAAAAAATGAGAAAGTTTCCAAATAACCATTTTAACAATTTACTAATGAGTTCCAAATATGACCATTCATCATAATTCCCAGACTTAATGCATGAATCTTATGCATGTATGCATTTGGTAAAAAATTACTTGAGCAGGTAACCAAAATCATCACCAACAAGGGAGAGATGGCCACTGTGGGCCTCCCAACGTGATACACTGAGAAGGACACATCATCTATGCAGTATTCTGGCCAAGAATGCATAATCTGTATCTAATTAAAATCTAACCGCAAGGTCGTATCAGACAAAACTCAAATGAGAAACAGTCTGTTTAATTTAAAAAAAAGAGGGGTATTCTTCAAACCCATTAATGTCAAAAAAGACAAAGAAAGGCTGTGGAAATGTTCCAGACTAAGGGAGACTAAGAGACATGACAAAAAATGCAATACTGTACCCTGGACTAGATGCTGTGTTGAGGGGGAAAATGCATAAAGGACCTTACTGGGTCAATGACAAAATTAGAACATTAGTATCATATTCATGTTAAATTTCCTAAAGCTGGAAAACTTTAACAATCTGGGTAGAAGGTATATGGGTATTCTCTGTACTTCTTTTATTGTTGCAATTTTTCTGTATATTGAAATTATTTCCAAGTAAAAGTTTTTATAAAAAAGTTATTGTACTTGACTCATGACAGGTGATGAAGCGGCAAGATAAGCAGTTAGTGATTGAGAAAACAGTTGTCAGGAGTGAAAGCAAGTGAAAGAAATGGGCAAACAGAAGGCAATAAACAATGGGGCTGGGATCAAATCCTCTGAGCCTTTAGAAGTGAAGTGCTGGGAATACCAAGATGCCTTACACCCAGCCTTTGTCTCTGGGGCTCACAAGAAAATGAGATTACAACTCAGCACCATTTAATACCAGATGACAAATGGCAACCACCTGGAGAGGTGAGTCTCATGGAGTTTCTGTGGTGACTTGGGGGCCCATCTTGGACTAGAAGGAGTTCAGTGGTGTGTCTGTGTGTGTGGGGGGGGGTGTTCAGAGGAAGCAGCTCTATGTCTGAGCCTGGAGCAGGACAAGAGGGCAGAGCTAAGGTGATAGAGGTGGGTGGTCAGCACAGAAGATATACAGCAGAGGGTCCTCGTATTTTTTGCAGAAATAATCCCTTTTACTATTATGCTGCAAAAGTCAAATGGTAGAGACATCCTATTGCATGCCAACTGACAGAAAACTTATGTGCATGCATGGATAAACACATGGACAGACAGACAGATACCAGTTCTTTCTTTGGCTCATCCTAAACAAGCAAATGGTGGCAATTATAATCCAAATTCTGCTAATTATAAGATAAACATATTTTCATACTTTAAAAAAATATTATGGCAGCCCGGCCAGTATGGCTCTATGGTTGAGCATCAACCCATGAACCAAGAGGTCCCTGGTTCAATTCCCAGTCAGGTCACATGCCCGGGTTGTGGGCTCGATCCCCGGTGGGGGGGCATGCAGGAGGCAGCTGATGGATGTCTCTCTCATTGATGCTTCTATCCCTCTCCCTTCTCTCTCTAAAATCAATAAAAACATTTAAAAAAAATTTAAAAAGTAAAATAAAATTCGGGTAAAGACTCTCTAAAACTTTTTTTCTCATACTACTTACTATAACATTTTGGTCTCCATTTTAAGTCTATTCACCTTGGGCAGCTCCTCCTAGCACTACTTATCCTCATATAAGGTCCTCCCAAGGCCCAAGCTACTGGTAAGGATAAGACCCCCACCCCCCCACACCCCCCTTCCTCTGAAACTGCTCTATTTAGAGTGACCAAAAACCTCCTGGTTGTCCAACCTCATGGATACTTCTTAGTTCTTTTGTCTCTAGGCCAGTTTCCTTATCTGGAGAATGGAGATAATGGCAAGTACTTCACAGAGTTCCTGTGGCCACTAAGGGAGCAGACAAATGTGGAGCACTTACATTGTGCCTTTTCTTATGCTCACTGCAAATGCACCTCTCAGCTGACAGAGATCTCCTGGAGAGTCCCCCTCTCTGGGCTTCCATTGTTTCTCTCTCCTAGCTGTTCTCTCTTGGGTAAATGGGAACTGGTCTTGATGGCAGATTTGTTTCATCACTTACCAGCTGAGTGACCTTAAGCAATTACTTAACCTTGCTGGTCTTTCCTTTTATTAAATGAGATGTTATATACAGGATGGAGCAAAAGTAGGGTTGTAGTTGTGAGTACGTGAAACAGTTTATTCTTGTATTGTTATTTATTAATTATTATATTATTTCCCATATGAACTGTAAACCTACTTTTGCTAACTCTGTAAAAAATGCCTGCCCCTTAGCAGTCACTTAGAAACTGTCAATCTCTTCTACTCCTCCTTCCCCCTAAACACTGCAGATCTGTGATCATCTCTCTTCATGCTTGACACACTTTTCATCGAGGAGCTCAAGTATTCTCATGGTTTTACACAACTTGACTAATACTCTGTATCTGCAGATGGAATTCTCCTCCATGCTTTGAACAAATGAACTGCTTATTGGACCCTGTTCAGTTCATTTGGAGCAGTGCTGACCAACAGAGCTATCTCCAATGACAGAGATGTTCTAGACCTGCACTGTCCAATATGGAAGCCACTAGTCTCATGTGGTTACTGGGCACCTGAAATGTGACTCATGTGACAAAGGAATGAAATTTTCCTGATAAGCTACATGAGTTCCCTTCCCTGTCTTTGTACATGTTTCCCTCATCTGGCTGTCTAATGAGCACCTCAAAACTAAAATCTCCTCCAAGCCTTTCACCCCATGCCTCATAGTTCCTATCTCAGAGGCACCAACCAGCTCCTAAGCCAAGTCCCTGAGCCAGGGTCAATTTTACCACTTCCCATGAATCACTAAGCCATGCTAATTTGCATAGTTTATCTGTCCCAGAGAGCAGCTTCATACTTTTGAGTTTACCAAGGCACAACAATGCCTGAAGGGAACTTGCCACAGGACTAAATAGTTCTTTTTGAATCTGTAGCACTGTCCAAATGGATTGAATTATTTTACCCCACTTTTGTCACATTCAAAGACAGGCCAGTTTTGTATCTGAGCACCACTAAATGGTAAAAGTAGGCATTTTGAGATTTTATAACTGCAAACATTTTTTTTCTTTAATCCTCACCCAAGGATATTTTTTCCATTGCTTTTCAGAGAAAGTGGGAGAGAGAGGTGTGTGTGTGGGGGGCACTGATGTGAGAGAGACACATCAACTGGTTGCCTCCCGCACACATCCCAACCAGGGCCAGGGATCGAGCCCACAACTGAGGTACGTGCCCTTGGCCAGAATCGAATCCAGGGCCCTTCAGTCTGCAGGCCAACGCTCTAGCTACTAAGCCAAACCAGCTAGGGCTATAACTGCTAACATTTAAACAAGCATTTGTCAATAAAGAAGTGTACTGCTCCTGAGAGGGGACATCATCTGCTGACCTCACCCACCATCCCAGCCAAGGGGAACAATGTCTTCCTTTAAACCCCAAAGGTTTATGGGTTTATCTCCCCTACTAGTCTTTGCACTACCCAAAGAATAGAGGCCGTTACTACACACATTTTTGTATTCTCAGGGCCTTATTGTGGTGTCTGGCATGAACTAAGTGCTCAATAAAATTTGGCAGGTAAGTCATGTACAACAAACCTATACCATACCTGATTTTTTTGTATGCTGTTCCTCAACAAACTTTTTCTGTTCCTTATGAAAATCTCCTATAATGGTCTGTTAAAAAATACAAAGAGAATCAAATTACCTTGAAAAGTTTATTAGATAAGAATTACATTCAAGATTTGTGAAGTCTGAGATATTTTATTCATTTTCTTCAAATAAGAAGGCTAAAAAAGTGATAGTTCCCCCTATCTACAACAAGAGGGAATTCTCAACATTTTTGAATTTTAAGTACATATACAACCTCCTTTATGATGAATTATCTTTTCAAATGCAAAAATAAAATGAGTTAAAAACTGAAATTTTGTATTATTCAAAAAATAAGACAGGTCTAATCTCATTCTAACAAACAGTACACACAACAAAAATATCTAAATAACAAGCTATCTAAAGTTCAATTGATGACCTCCTTAGCTCAAATAATTACCAACATAAATAAAATTCACCACTGTGAAAAATGAACAAAGTCACTCCTTAGAGTCTTAAAAGGGGTGTTCCTAATGGGCTAAGACTTTAAAATTTTAAACAAATGATGAAAAGCATAAATATATTCTGAAGTGGTTATAGTTGAAAATTAAACTCACAATATGAAAAGTTTAGAATTACCCAAAAGTATCAATATATCTCAGACTACATAAAAACCAAGGCTATTTAAATCAGATAATTTATATCATAGCTACTTGTTACACACAAAAAGAAAAAAACCAAGAATCTCAGCTATTAATTTTTTTATCAGAATATGATATCCTACTTGGGTTAATAAAATTCATAAGAAGAAGGGACAATATTAGCTGTTAATGAATTTCATAAATGTCTACTACCAAAGATACTTAAATGTACCTTATCGATGATGTCATCTATTTTTCCTTCTTCTACGGATTTCTTTATCGATTGTGCAGTTTCAGCAACTGATTCAGTTATCTTTTTTGTAGCGGCAGTCGCAAAGTTAAATAGATAGCCTATAAAGAATAAAATAAAGAGTCTATGCTCCATTCCAGTACAATGGTTATTGTCTTTGTAATTTCTTCCTTAAAGAGCTCTGGTAAGAATCTTACACCATTAGGGCATGTTCTTTGTTAATTAGGACTTGAAACAAGAAATGAGAAGCACTGTCAGTACTCCACTTTCTCGGTGGACTGGCCCATCCATACTGGGCCTTGAATTCATCTCTTTCAAAGACCCTTAGCAAACTCCTCAGTTCTCCCCCAGTAGCTGTTCCAAATTGTCTTGCCTTTCTCCAGTCTCTAGTTCTAACTTACCTCAGTAAATAATCTCCCCTCCAACTTTACAAATAAGATCAAGGCTCCTTTTCCTTTCCTTTCTAGTCTCTTAGTATCCCACCTTTATTTTCTTCTTCTTCCCTCCTGCTCAAAGAAAAAATGTCCCTCATTTCCTAGATTAACACATCCCATGATAAATCTGGGAGATTTTTAATAAATAGAAATCATGGCAAGCCCTAATATAAATCCTTCTTAACTAATAATGAGCAAATACATACAACAAAATTAAAACTGGAAGACACAAACTTTCTTTACTAAACGAAAATCTAAAACTAACTTTCCTGAAGACCTGAAAAGACGTATCAAGGCTTTATTGCGCTACAATATAAAGGCTTGTGTGTAGACAAATATCTCAAAGTCCACACTCTGCACAATCTGGGCCGCAGGAAGCGACCTCAGGCAGGTCTTCAAGCTGGACCTGCTTGGGGATGCTCCAGGGCAACTGGCCTTTGAATCTCATCTCAGGTGGGAAGACTGTAACTTAGGGCAGTCTTGCCTCTGCCATTTGTGCCTACTGAGGGGGGGAGAGGGAAGGGGAGGGGTTGGCTCTCACACTACTCTGGCTGGGAGAAAACCCTGATAAGAATGGGGAAGGGAGCTTGATTTGATTAAATCCTCACTCTGGGTGGTGTCACTTCCAGAGACTCTGGCAACTTGTACCGCTATCTGGGAGCAGCATATGATGTCCCAATCTGAACGGCCATCTCTCCCACTTACCATATCCTTTACTGTGAAACAGTCTACTTTCTCCCATTGTGTCTGGTGGCTTCCATCTGTCAGTGACATCAACACTCCATGGTGACTATACCACAGGATACTACTTGTCTCTGGTCTCATTCTGGCCATTCTCCCCACTCCTATTCTACATTCACATAACCACAGAAATCCTTGAGTATCATCTCCAAGGAGGCCTCAAATACATTATTCCTTGGTTTGAAACACTTTTATCTGCCCTTCCTTTACTGGCTACACATCCTGTGGGTCTCTGCATACATATCACTCCTTGGAAATTTTACTCCTTGACTGGAGTAGGCGCCTCTCAGCATCCTTGTTACCCTGTCAACAATTTCATGAAACTCTACCAAATGTGTCTTCTTAGCAAGACTGAAGACCCATCATAAGCCCAACTGGGGCAGGGACCAGGCTGTCTGATTCACCCAGTGAGTGACCAACAAGTAGTTACTGAATGGATGAATGGGGACTGACATAATAAGTACTGAGCTTTAGGAAGATCCCTCATTTCTCTTTGGCTATGACTAGTCTATTTACCCAGAGTGGTATGATAATATGGGTACACAGTCACACTACTTTGTACAAACATTCTTTGCAGATAAAGAAATCTAAAGTTCTAAAACAGCAGGGTTCCCTTTAAGATTTCTCAGGAATACATTTTGAATTAGAATCAACATTTTTTTCATAAGGGAGAACTCTCATTTAAAAACTGGTATTTTAGCATAATAATCTCAATTCATGGGTGGATTATACTACAGACACTGAACATGGGAGAAAGTACAGTTCCTGCCTTCAAGGGATGTCCATTTCTAAACAAACAAAAGACAGACAACCAGAGGAGAAAGACTATTCATTAAACAGAGGCACTGAGAGAAGGGAGGGAGAAGGTCTCCCAGGAGTAGAGAGTGGCCTGGATTCTGAAGTCAGAGGGAGAGGGAAGCAGGAGAGCATGAGAGGAGATTTTCAGGTAAGAAGCTCATAAAAACAAGAAGTGGTTTATTAATTCTGCAAAGAGACCACCTGATACCAAGTTAAAGACAGTTTTATTAAGTGGTTAGATAAAACTGACTAAGGGAAGAGTTAACAGGAAGTAACAGGAGTACAATGTCCACTTCAGGAACTTTGGCACAAGACAGGGTCTGAGCCAAGGAAGAAAAGTAAGTAAAACATCTGCCAGTGAGTAACCTCTAAAACCTTATGGAAAGAGGGGGCAAATCACCAACACTGAGTGTAGTTATTTTATCTTCATTTTCATTATGTCAATTTAGTCTCACAACCTTCCTGGGAAGAGTAGGTATAATCTGCCCCGTTTACAGATAGGGAAGCCAAGGCTCACAGAGGATAAATGATTTTTCTATTATGACAAGGGCATATCTACCCCACTGACAGCCTCACCAATAGCCTATCCCCTTCCACCTTGCTAAAGAAACCTCAATTTTGATGGGTGCTCATCAAATCTGGGGGTGGGTTTGGGGACCCTGGACACAAACAATCAAAGTGGTCTTCCCATAAAGCCTCTGTTTGTGGGACTTTCTATAATTTGCAGCTGAAATTTTTATTATTTTTTAAAATATATCTTTATTGATTTCAGAGAGAGAAAGGGAGAGGGAGAGAGAGAGACAGAAACATCAATGATGACAGAGTCATTGATCAGCTGCAGCCCGCAACAAGGGCATGTGCCCTGACTGGGAATCGAACCATGATCGCCTGGATCCTAGGTCGACGCTCAACGGCTGAGCCACGCCCAGCCGGGCTGCAGCTGAATTTTCTGTAATTTGCAAATGATATCACAATAAAGACAGTAAGTAGAGAACTTAAACACAGGCTATCTGCCTCTAAATGGCATGTTCGTGCCCCAATCCCATACTGCCTCATGTCAGCTGAGCAAGTGCCAAGGGCTTGCAGAACTGAATGGAATGATAAGGGTAAAGGAAAGTGGGAAGGTCCCCAAAGGTCAGAAAAAGCACAAATTTATCAGAGTAAAGAGAGGAAGGTAGTTTAAGGCTTGCTGTTAGAATGGGAAAATAACCAGATAGTGGTTTTTAAGGCATATATAAGCCTTAGGATATTAATAGTCTTATGAAGATGCTGGTTAATTTTTCAAAAATACCACATTAATACAATTTTAGAATTTTTGTACTGAAAGGGGATTTAGAGGGGCTAATTAAACCTCCTGTCCAGGTAGCCCCACTTCTAGGGATGGGGAGCATATGTGTTCAAAGGGCAGCCAATTATTACTGTTATCCATCTCAAATTCAGAAAACCCTTTTTACTTCCCTTGTCATCTGTGCCTCTCAGAATAAGATCTGTCCTCTTAAGTAACATAAAAATGACTTTTTTTTCTACAAAGAAAAAGCCTGTCAGAATTTTGAGCAATGCTCCTAAGTTTCTTCTTCAAACTAAAATGTCCAGTTCTTTTTAGTATTGCTCATAAACCATGGGATCCAAGTTCTTGGCCATTTGCACTGCCCTCCTCGTGGTAAACCTGGGTTTGTCATCAGAACTGAATTAGGGATTTTACTTATCAAAGCAGACATGTATTTTCCTATGTACACACTAACTTTTGGAGCCCTCTTAGTTGTAAACTAAGCAAGTTAGGCATCTAGAACTTGAAATGCACTTTCCCTACAGAAAAAGAGGAGGGTGGCCTAATTAAAATAGTTCTACTGCAAATACTACTAACTAGCACTTCTCAAAGGAAGTGCTGGGCATGGACTGGCCTTAGGGACAGTTTTGAAAAAGCCAAAGAGATACTGTTTTTCTTTTTTTTAAACAAAGAGTGCAGATAAAGCTCTAATTTGGTTGACTTTAACAAAACCACACAACCAATTTATGAATAAGTTACTTTGGGGCATGAGGCCTTCATGGAGGTAGGGAGAAGTTCTTCAGTGAGTTCCCTTATAAACTGCCCTCCTCTGAAGGAGGTGATCATAGGAGATCCTAAGTTTACCAGAAGGGAGGGCCAAGGATGGGAAGATTTGGTTTTGGGCGAGGGAGTGCAAAGTAGGTCTGGGTGTCCAGTACTCATAACTGGTGAGGCGCTGAAATTTATAAATAGGTCATCATGAATCAGAAGTATTTAGGGTCCAATCTTGAAGGGAGGCACTCAATAAAGGTTTACAGAACAAATGGGGCTCCTAGGAGATTCCAAGTAGATTTTAAAAAGCTAAAGAAACTAATCTACTTAGTGGGAGTCAGGCAACATAGATGGGCCTATTTAAAGATAAAATACCTCTTATGATCAATACATAGAAATAAAAAACATCTGATCATCTCTCCTCTTTCTGAAGATTTGTGTATACACTAGAACCTTTACTTCTTTTTAAAAATCACATAAATATCAGAGCTAAAAGAGCCTGTATTTATTTGGAAGCTTTAAATTCACAATGTGTGTGGGCATGAAAAAGGGGGGG